GGTCCTCCCCGCGCCAGCTCGCCATCCCTGTAAAAACAATGCTTTCCAAAATACCGCGATCAGAACTGTCGGCCGATCCACCTTAATGTCATCCTCCCATTTCCTTCTCGTTTTTTTTCCCGAGTGCACGATTTATTCCAAAATTCTCTATCTATTCATGGTCTCCCCCCACCATAGCCCCCTACACTATGTATCTGTCTTCAAACGCCCTAAAGTACTTGTAATTTATAACATCATGTCACAGCATTCAACGCGCAATTTACCAAGAACTTCGCCCTGTTCGTGAGCCCTTTCAGTCACGTCTTCATAACTCCACTGTTCAGTTGGGAGGATAATATTAAAATGGATCCTACATAAAAAGGTTGAGAGATTGTAGATGAATTGAACGGGCTCGGGACAGGATTGTGGTGGACTTTTGTGGACACGATGACGAACCTTACTAAACCGCATGTAATTTCTGAGCCGACTGAATAAAAACAAATGTTTCAACAAAGTTAGTTACTAACACTTCGTTTCGTGTACAGTCTAGTGACTAGGCTTTTGTCAGATGTACATTTTAATATACCGTGCGCTACAGACGAGCAATAGCCCGTATTTATAATATTACTAATTCCTGTGCCTTATGTATTTACAATGATGCATATTATTATATAAAACGTCTTTCACATTGCAAATAACACACGCATTGCGGCCTCCAAACCGGAAAAAAATACTTGTAATATTAGCGGGTATAAGACATAGATGAAATGACAAAAAGAAGGAGCCTAGCTTATTGGAAAGTTTACATCTGTAAACTGACAGACTGTGAACTTACTGTATAATTTATCTCGTGTTCTTGCAACATTCTTTCCGATGGTGCTGCATCAATTACACAGCTTACAAAGCGACGAATAATATGATGTATATAGGTAACACACGAATATTATCAACAGCTGCCACTACCTTGTATCTCGTACATGCGCACTGCAGTAATTGCTTTTCATAGAACGAACCAACAAATCTCAGTTAAATACAAATATTGTTGTCCGTACGTTTTCGCGGTTGGAGTTCAGACTGTAACTTCGGTTTTAGGGTGACAGCCGAAGTTATACGTTCATACAAATATTCTTATTTCACTGATCGTTTTGGATCCCGACATCGCTCTAAAATCGAAAACATTTCGCGCAGTCACCATGTCACTTTTAGAACATAATTTGAAATGTTGGTGTTGGTTCAACCTCAGATGTTCTCGCCACCGCCATATTGGAAAAAAAAGAAGCTTAATAATGTTGCTTTTTTAATATTTTATTTTGCAAATATAGAGTTGCCAGACGTCCCGATATACACGAATGTCCAGCAACCGTTTCTATGGAGAAACAAGAAATTCATGCATCCATATTCTTGGTTAGAAAGTGGAACTTGGAGGACATGCAAAATGGATACGATTAATCAGGATCTTAAAAAATTAGGTGGAATTGGCTTCAGGTTATACCATCCGATAGACTGCGTCCCCGATAAACTGGCAGCCCTATCTTTCTCTCCAAAATGTTACACAGTTTGAATAACAGGAAAGCCAAGTGTTTCAGAGAAATGCTGATGCCCTTACGTCATCGGTGACGACGTTGGCCCAAACTGTTGGCTCAGGACCAATCACACAAGAACACGACGCCCGAAAATAACAATAAAGTGAGGGGAGAATTGGCTTTGCTGCTGATAAAACGCTAATAACAGAAATAGAGAATTAAAGCGTTACTCAGGATTTATGGTAAATACACAGAACGTCAGAGGGGTTTGTACTTGCCACATGGCGAGTAGCATAAACGCTGTACAAAGGCGAAACTGTGTACGGGCCAACATCACCCTCTAATTGCCTGTCAGTGCTAAGCTTCTCCTTACATCCAATAGTTATTTTTTGGCTGCTGTGCACTCCTCACTGACCTTGTATGATTTGAGGTTTTCACAGCGCTCTGTAGTCTGGTAGATGTTTACCAACGTTTCAGAGATCATACTGCCTCCTCGTCAGGGCGATCGCAGTATGACCTCTTAAACGTTGGTAAACATCCACCATACTACACGGCGTAACAACCCAGAAGACAGAAATCTTCTCACTGACCTTGCTGTTATGAAAAGCAGTGTTATG